ATCAAAACTAGATTTGCCAATTGCTTAGATCCAACTATCTTTGGCCAAGTGACACTTTTTCTTATTAGAACATGTCTATGCCATATAGGCTCAATACAGAGATCCTGAGACCTGAAGTAAAAGAAAATACACTTGCAAGTGTGGAGTGTGGATTTTAATCCTGTGCTTATAAAGTAAATTGAAAGTATGCTATTGCAAAAATTACAAGAACAAAAAAGAGAGAAAGGAAGGAGAGGAGATAGAGGGAGGGTAGTACGGTTATTTTATTAGAATTGTATCTATGAAATACATGAAATCTATTCTGTTTATATTAAGAAAAAATTTTAAAATAAATATCAAATAATTAAATAAATAGAAATTCCATCTTAAAAGTCAATGGGAACAGAAATATCTAGGGTGAAGTGTCTAAGGTTGGAATCTACTATAGTTAATGGACTTACACTCTTCTAATAAATTGCTATCTGCATAACTGACACTAAGAAGCCTGTGTTAATAAATCTCAATACAGTAAACACCTCTCGGACTTGGCATGCTCATGGTCTGTGACACCCCCTGCACCCTCACACCCTCCTAATCCTCCTGATTCCTTCATTGACTGCCCCTGGCCCACTGTCCTGCAGGCTGTGATGGGACCGCAACTAAACGGCTTAACTTCATTATTCGTCATCTTGAATTGATTCACATATTTCCAAAGGGGCACCACCTCGAGAGTTTCATGGTAAAAAAAAAAAAATCTCACCAACCTCCTCAAAGTCCATGTCCTCCTCATTCTGCCTAGGCTCCAATATCTCAGGATCCAAAATGATAGAATTGTGATCTCCATCACCATTGTCTGATGTTTCTGTTTCTTCAGACAAGAGGACGTTTCAAGAACCTTTCTGGGGCTGCTGCTGTGGCACAGCACATTAAAGTCCCAGCCTAAAGTGCCAGCATCTTATATGGCGCCATTTGCTCCTCTTCTGATCCAGCTCTCTGCTATGACCTGGGAAAGCAGTAGAAGATGTTCCAAGTCCTTGGGTCACTGCACCTGTGTGGGAGACCTGGAATAAACTCCTGACTCCTGACTATAGATCTTCCCAGCTTTGGCCGTTGTGGTCATTTGGGGAGTGAACCAGTGGATGGAAGACCTCTTTCTTTCCCACTACTGCTCTCTGTACTTCTGTATTTCGAATAAATAAAAATAAATCTTTAAAAAAATAAAAAGAACCTTCTGAACCTGGTCTGTGTACTGTGTAGGTCTGAAATGCCAGGCTGAGATCAGCATTCTTAAGGATGTTCAACAAGGTGTCAGGGGTCTCTGAGCCACTGCTTATGGCTATTATTTTCACAGTACTTTGTTCCAGAACCACCTCTGTTGTCCTCTGCTGTTAAACTGAAAGTGAGTATGGATGGACTTTCCAAAGCTATCAGAGCAGTTCTAGGTACATTTTTCTCCTACTGCTGCCTGGGAGGACTTGGTGAGCTGGCTTTCCTCAGATACACTGACTACTGCCTGATTCAAAAATCTAAAAAGCCATGAATTGTCATTCTTTAATTTTTAAAGTTAATACAGTGACTTTCTAGCTTCAAATTTGTAGGCAACTTTTCTTTAAGAGGATATCAAATACCATTATCTTCAAATGTTGCTGTTACATACATCTCACCAATTCACAATTTAATATCATATACATTGCATACTGAAAATTTCAGTGTTTCACAAAACATTAATAAAACTATTAGGAAAACTAGACTACCACAACCAAAGATGTTATAGGTATCAGAACTGAAGGAGTGGCTTGATGATTGGGGGTGTCTGATGGACCAGGCTGCAGCAAACCTTCTCAAGTCACATGGAAGAACTGTTGCAAATGAGGAAATCTTGCTAGAATATAATTAGTTCGTAGAATGTTATAATAATTAGTTCATAGAAGGTATATTTGAAAGCAAAATGAAAAAAGAAGTTTCTGATATTTAAAATATTAATATCACAGAATTTTTTAAAAAGTCTAGAACTCTTGTGAGTTTTTAACTCAAGGGAGAAAGTGCAGCAGAATGGGTATGAACTTGGTGCTTTGTAACCTAGTAGAACAGAAATGGGATGCTAGCTGCATCAATAACTATTTGCATGATTGTGAGAAATTACTTAACTTCTTTATGCTCCAGTTTCAGTTTTAACAACTATAAAATGAGGATAATAGTGCCTACCTAGGGGC